GGAGGGCAAGAGGATTCACCAGAGACAGAGTGGGGGGCAGAACAGGCAGGTGAACTGAAGTACACTGGTGAGGGGAGCAGCGGCCATTCAGAAGAGGTCTGCTGTGCCGTGTGGGTCAGCTCCCTGGCCAGGGATTGAACTTGTGCTGCATTGGCTGCTGGTAACTTCACAGTGCTGAGACTTAAGCTCTTATGCACCAGGGAGACCCTCTCTCTAGTTTCACTAGCTTCTTACTAGTAGCATTTCCTTTTATTCTGAATGTAGGCAACAAACCAGACCTATTAGCAGCATCTGGGACTTTAGAAATAGAAATCATCACTAGAAACCACAGCCATTTCCAGATCTAGTCACAACTGCTCCAGGGATCTTGACAAGTTATTTATACTTACCATACTTGTGAAATCATGGTAGTTTTGAACCTACCACTAGATCTTGTTATTTAATGTGTTAAAAAGAACATATATTACAAAACTACAAACACAATTTTTTGGATAGTTATTTGACATTCGATATAATTGTGATATGTTGTAATCTATTTTTTTAAAATAATAGTTTATTTATTTATTTATTTATTTTTAAGATTTATTTATTTGTGCATACAGAAGTGGGGTACAGGTCAACGGCTCAGGGGCGGTGAGAGACTTCGCCAGAGACAAAGCGGGGAGCAGAACAGGTAGATTGACGAAGTACACTGCTGAGGGGAGCAGCGGGCGGGTCAGGAGAGGTCTGCCACGTCATGTGGTCACCTCCGGGGCAGGCGGGAATCGAACTCAGGTGGAAGCGGCTTTAGATTCTCAATGCTGTGCTTTAACCTGCTGCGCCACCAGGGAGGGCCAATAGTTTATTTTTTAACAAAAATAATGAACAACTATATACCAGAGACATTTTGTGGGGAATGGGACATGTGGAGTGGGGAATGGGATCAAAAACGGGGTGGGGGGGGAAGAGAGGGAAATGCACGGGACTATGGTGGTGGCACACGGGTGATTTGGTGATGGGAAACCCGTGGGGATTACAATCGAGATGGAAAAAAAAATGTGCAAAATGATGTAAAAATAAACTTTTGTAATAAATAAAAAAAATAATAGTTTATTTTTACGTCATTTTTATGCCTTTTTCCATCTCAGTTGTAATCCTCATTGGCTTCCCATCACCAAATCACGATATTTTGTAATCTTAATACATAAAATATAGGCTCTATATTAGGGTTACAGAAAACCCTGATAAATAAAAATACACTGAAGTATTTTTTCTTTTAAGATTTATTTATTTATACATACAGAACTGGGAATAGGCCACAGGTGCAGTGGGCAAGAAGATTCACCAGAGACAAAGTGGGGAGCAGAACAGATTGACTGAAATACACTGCTGAGGGGAGCAGCAGTGGGTCAGGAGAGGTCTGCCATACCATGTGGGTCACTCCCCTGGCTGGGGATCGAACTTGTGCTACAGTGGCTGTCAATAGCTTCATGGTGCTGTGCTTCAACCCATTGCATCACCAGGGAGGGCCCATACTTGATGGGTTTTAAAAACTGCGTTCTGAGAAAGTTCCATGGGTCACCACATGCCAAAGGAATTCATGATACACATAAAAAAGACACCCTAAAGAGGAGGCTTAAGAGAGCTGATGTGGCCTGGCCCTGATTCTTGTCTCAGCTAAAGTCCAGCCCAGAAGAGTAGTGAGAACAAGGTTCCCACAAAGACCCTACAACCTGCATGCCAATTCCACCTTATGAAATCATGAGATCTGCCAGCAGCTTTGAACACCATACCTGGTACAGAAAGTGGGGAGCCCTCTATTAGAAGCCCTCTTTAAATCCTCAGAAGAGAGCCCAGTGTCTCCCTCCCGCCCCCCCCCCCGGTCCTGTGATCCTGCGGAGACCCTGATTACAGTAAAACCTTACCCACAATGCTCTGCAAAGCTGAAGTAAGATTCACCTTCTGCCTATGAATCTCAGACAAGAGGAAAAAACCCAAGCATTTCTTTTTTATAAACACCCTCTAATTGATCAAAGAAGAACCCCATCTGAAGTCCCAGAGTGTGGCAATGTGGGTTTCACTCCAGGAGGTAGAGCACAGCAGTGTTCTGGGTTGAGAGGGTTTCAGGTTCAAAGCCTGGCTCCTATAAGCCCAAAATATATTCATAGGAGTGAGAGAAGTGAACATTGTGGAGAGACACCATCTCCAGGCTCCAGTCTGGAACCTGCGATGAGGAGGGCGGGAGTAGTGCACATCAGAGGCGGCAGTTTCTTGGCGTCCCACCCAGTGAATCATCCCGGCTCTCACGTGGGTCCACTGAACAAGCTCTAATTTGGGAACGGAGCAGCAGAAGGGCCCCAAATTAACTTCAGCTTTGTCTTTCCCTGTTCACTTGGCGTTGTGGACCTGCCTGAGCTATGTGGGGGTTGGATGTGGGAACAGCTCAAAGCATCAATATCAGATTACTGACCAAAGAGAAACCAAAGGTACAGAAGACGGGAGGAGAGGCCAGAGAGGCTGAGGTGGCAGGGCCATGTGACAATGTCGTGAGACAAAGATGGCGGCCACGCCGAGCCTGTTCAGGGGAGGCCGTACTGGGAAGGCTGCAGCAAGGACCCCTGGCTGGAGAGGAGGTGCTGGGGGTGAGCTTACATGTAGGAGGGAGCCTGAAATTTCCCATTATACACCTTTTGTATTTTTTAAGTTTTGCACTGCTTACGCATTACTGACTAGTAAAAATTACTGTTGAGATTTTGCATGGCAGAAAGCCTCATAGTCATGTAGCAGTTCCTGAAACCACTGTGCTGTTTCAGGAACTAACGTTAATGGAGCGCTTTCTGTGTGCCAGCGGCCCTTTGGCACTCCCTGTTGTACAGATCTTAGAAAATGGAAGCTGAGCTAGGAGGCAACAGAGTGGGACTCCTCCCAGGCCTGCTAAAAGCCAGAGAGCTACAAGGACCACACTGCCTTCCTCCCTGGAGTGAGCAGTTGGAGGCACCAGCTGCTCTGGCAGGATCCAGAGAGATGCCATCTGTGAGGGAAACCTATTCTTAGAGAGCAGAGACAATCAGTGGTGAAGCCGACCAACCCCCAGCTGCATGGGGGGTCGTCAGGAGGACAGGCAGCCAAGGTCTGCCTTCACTTAGGGGGCAGCACCGGCTAAGAACAGGGCGTACTCAGTTCTTCTGCTCATGCTTTCATCTCCATTTGAACATTATATTAGCAGTAACAGCAAACATCTACTGAGTGCTTACTTTCTGTGCATCATATCACTTGATCCTCCCGACTACCCTGTGAAGTGTGTTCTATTAGAACGCCTGCTTTACAGATGAGGAAAGAGGCACAGAATGGTTAAGTCACTTTCCCAAGGAGACTGGCTGAGTCCAGGCACTCTGCTCCAAAGCCTGGCCCTAGGCGTCATGTTCCAGTGCCCCTTAACTGGATGCAACACAGGCCAAGTTTTGTTTGGGTTTCCCCAAGAGCAGGCCCCAAGACAAGGAATTGAGTGCAAGTGGTTTACATGGGAAGTGGTCGCAGGAATCAGGTAGGGGAGTGAGGAAGGGAGACAGGGAAAGAGGGGGTCTCAAACAAGTGACCACAGTGGACAGCCAGTGCTCAGTCCTGCTGGGCCAGAGTGCACCTCAGAGTTCCCCCATCCAGTGATAACTGGATGAAGGGTACAAGTGAGGGGTATTCAACAGTCATGGCTAAGGGCTGTTCCTGGGATATGTTAGTCCTCCAGCATTGTAAGTCTGCTCTGGGCAGCGAGTGAATGCCAGTAGCTAGCTAGTCTCAGGCAGAAATTCACAGCTGGAAAAGTTGGCTGCTGTGTGCTGAAGAGGTAAATTAGAGGGGCCATGGATGGGGCACCTCCAGCATCTGCTCAAAAGCCTGCTTGCTGGTGGTCAGGTGGTCACCTTCTCCCCTCCCAAAAGTCTTTAGATCTCATAGACCTTATAGGGTGAACTTCGGAGCCCAGAGCTGCAGTATAACATCATGGCTGAGAATACAGTTAAAGCAGGCATAATCCTGCCCTGACTACCTGGAAACTCTGCAAGTGTTTCCTCACTTGTCACATGGGATAATGGTTGCCTCTACATCATTTCCTATGATCCTGTTAACTGTAGATGTGTCTAGAACTGTTAGCAGCGGCAGCACCTGGGAGCCTTGAGAAATGCAGACCTTCAGGCTCCACCCCAAACCCAGTGAGAAAAGTTCTGTGTTTTAAAACTCTCCAGCAACTCGTGCACATTTCTACTAACTCCTAAAACATAAGAGAGAATGAAATACTCCTGTTAGACTAAGAGTCTGAAATGGGTAGACCAAAGATCAAATCTTCCTGGAAACCTGTTTGATTTGTCTAATGTGGTGATTTTTTTTTTTAAGATTTATTTTTATTTATGCATATACAAACTGGGGTATAGGGCAGAGGTGGGGGGAGGGGTTGAAAGGATTCACCAGAGACAGAGTGGACAGCAGAATTCTGAAATACACAGCTCTACTGAACTACACTACTGAGGGGAGCAGCAGGCGAGGCAGGAGAGGTCTGCTGTGCCATGTGGGTCACCTCCCTGGTGGGGGATCAAACTCATGCCGCACTGGCTGGCAATAGACTGACAGCACTAAGGCTAACCACTGAGCCACCAGGGATGCCCACGTGGTGATTTTAAATCCATTTTTCCACTCTCTCACAGTACCTAGAAATTACATGTATCCCACCTGCCAGGTCCCAGTAGGTATCTGAGCTTGCACCTATTCTGGAGTGGATTGTATTACCAGCCACCATTTGCACAGCATTGCTTGGGTTCCTGAGTTGAAAGTAAGGCACTGAAAAAAATATGGGCTTTGAAGTCAGAAAGATCTGGGTTCAAAGGCTCATTTGGTTATCATACTAGTTGTTTTACCTTGGGCAAGTTACTTCTCTCAGATCCTCAGTTTTCACATCTGTGACAGGAGGATTAAAACACATACCATTAAGGTTATTGCATGGATTAAAAATAATATGTGCAAAGCACCCAGAAGAAAGTAGATGTTCATTTTAATAGTAGTCAATAGTAGTAAAAGCAAGTCAGTTATACAAGTCTAATGTGAATACTGGGTATTTATGATTATATTCATTTTATGAGACTGAGGCTCTGAGGGGTTAAAGACCTTCCCCAAGGTCACAGAAATGCTGTGATACAAACCCTTGTTCTCCAGCTCTATGTCAGCACTGTCTACTAGAATGTTCTGCAACGATACAAGTATTCCATGTCTCTCTTGTCCAGTATGGCAGCCACTAGCCACATATGGCTACTGAGCACTTGAAATGTGGCTGGTTCAAGTTGAGGTGTACAGAACACCTGCTTCAACTCAGCACAAGAAAAGGGTGTAAAATATCTCAATGTTTATATTAATTATATGTTAATTAATTAATATGAGATTTGAGGTTAAAATAATAGTTAAGATTAATAACATCTGCTTTCTACTTTTTTTAAAGGTGACTACCATATATAGGTGTGTGCATGTGTGTGTGTGTGTGTATATATATATATATATATATATATATATGGCTCACATTGTGTTTCTATTGGACAGTAGAACTCTAGAGCTTCTCCAGTAGAACAGTACCTGAGACAAGGAATTTAATATTTTTAAAAACATATTTGTAACCCACTGCCCACCAGCAAGGAGCCCTCTGTTACAAAGGAACAGTCATAGAACATACCCGCCAGAGAGAGACTTCCGAGCCTTCCTCTGGGCTCGATGACCCCTGAGGCCCAGAGTGGGTGCGACTTTCTCTGGTCCCACAGAAGTCAAGCAGCGCAGCTGAATTCATGACCAAGGCTTCTCAGCCTGACTCAGTCGCTGGTTCCACCATTCCAGAGTATCTAATGGGATTTGAAAGTCAGGGCCTTTACATCAGCAAATGGAACCCTGGGCTGATAAAAATTGGAATCTGAGATCCTTGATCTTGAAAAGGCAGGATCTTCAGGAAGGATTCAGAAATGGAGCCAGTCTCGAGTCGCAGCTGACACTGCCTGGAGCCCACTCAGGTGCGGAAGCCCCCATAAGTGCCTCTGGTCGTGTTACTTGGCAGGGCGGCTCTTGTTGTAGATGAGGAAGTCTGAGATGTCATGCCACACATTGCTGTCCTTGTATAAGTAGGTCATGGAAGACTGCAGCGAGGGCTGCAGTGTGGCCTGGTGGTACTCAAAGAGCCACATCACCAGCCCCCACACCAGCCCAGTGAACAATGGGAATGGGTCCCACTTGGGTTCCGGGATGTAGCCCTTCTCCACAGCCAGACGGCCCAGGGCAAACAGGACACGTGATGTCAGGTACATGTTGATCTGCAGGAAGGGAACATGAATTACTGGTGGGCACAGTCACTGGGAGCCCGCTGCCCACGCCCATGCACCCGGGCACCTCCTGTTGTGCCCTGGATCAGTTTCTCAAAGCTGATTTGAAAAAAAGATGATTTTAAGTGGTTTATAGCAGGTATTTTTTAAAAAGTGGGTGAGGTTTTTTTCCCTAAGATTTATTTTTCATTTATTTATGCATAAAATGATTGGGGTGTAGGCCAGAGGTGTGGGAGGGGGTGAGGGAAATATCCAGAGATGGAGTGGGGAGCACAACAAGCACTACTGAAATACACTGCTGAGGGGAGCAGCAAGAGAGGAGAGGTCTGCTGCGCCATGTGGGTCACCTCCCTGGCTGGGGATCGAACTCATGCTGCAGTGGCATGAGTTCAGTCATGCCTTAACCCCTTGTGCCACTAGGGAGACTTAACCCCTCGTGCCACCAGGGAGGCCCTGCTTGGCAATTTTTTATAAAGGTGAGTGCGTATATACCATATGACTCAGCAGTTGCACAATTGGACATTTACCTCAGATAAATGAAAATTTAAGTTTACACAGAAATGTTCCTGGCAGCTACACTCCTAATAGCCCCAAACTGTAAACAACCCATATGTCCTTCAGTGGGTGAATATTTAAACAAACTGTGTACATACCATGGAACACTACTCAGCAATAAAAAGAAATGAACTACTAGATAAAATGAACTACTAGAGTGACACTGGGAATTACGCTGTATGAAAGATGCCAATCCCAGGTTATATACTATCACGACTCCATTTAAGTAACATTTGTTAAAGGGCTTGACAGGATGTCAGAATAGCTGTTGTCTGGGATCAGGAAAAGGTGGGGAAGGGGCAGGACATGGGTGTGACCAGGATTTCTGGACTTTCGGAGTTCAAAGACCAGTGAAATTCCAACAAAAAGTAAAACTGGGGAAACTCGCAAAATACCAAACGCTCACATCCATAGACTCCACAATTCCAACTCTAGAAACTCATGGACTGACAACATGTAAGCAGAAATGCATGTAATGACAAAAAGCTTAAAAAAAAATAAATCCATCCATCCAGAAATATCTACCCAGAAAAGACCAGTGAACTCAAGACAGGGCCATCAGTTCAGCAGAGAATCTGCTGTGAGAAAGAATGAGGGCCTGCAAGAGAGGTCTCCAGGATACATTATGTGAAGGAGAAAAAAAGCAGATGATTTCTTTGGTGGAAAAGTCCCAGTGTGTACACAGATAGAAGTTCAGGTGCAGACAGACAATATCAGAAGCAGACACCGTTGCTGCGTAAGACAGCTAACCTGTCTGGGTAGTGGTTTTACACTTGGAGGGAGGTGAAGACTTTCTTTTTGATTTATTTTCTGATTTTATCATGACCTAGAAGTATACCAGGCACATGAGGAGGTGCTCAGCCTGCATCTTTTACATGAAAATAAGACATAGAAATTACAGCGGCAACTTTTCATATTGCCAAAGAAGGACATGAATATGACATTTAGTTTCATCATTACTTCATTAAAAAACAAACAAAAGGGTGACGCAAGGGATTAAGTCTAAGCACTGGGAAGGTATCAGCAGTCACTGCAGGAGTTTGATCCCCGGGCAGGGAGGTGACTCACATGGCACAGCAGACCTCTCCTGTCTCAGCTGCTGCTCCCCTCAACAGTGTATTTCAGTAGATCTGACTGTTCTTCTCCCCACTTTGGTGAATCCTCTCACCCACCCACTCTGCACCTCTGGCCTACACCTTGGCTCTTGTATGCTTAAATAAATAAATCTTTAAACAAACAAAAAAACCACACAACTTTAATCCAGCAAAAAAAGGCCAGTTAGAGAATAAAAGAAAATTCTCTGAATGTGTTAAGTTTTTTTTTCTTATTGTATTAATCATTTTATTTTTAATTTGAAGCGGGTTATTTAATTTTATGAACATCAATGAATACATGAACAGAAAATGACATCAGTGTTTTTTCAGGTTATAATGGGCTTAATTCTCATTTCATTCTGTATTAACAGTGATTATTGAATAATGTACAGATATTCTTCCATTCAAACATAATTCATTTATAGAAAACTGAATGTGTTAAGTTTTATTTGATCAGAAACTTACTCCACAGTCACCATTTTACCCCACATTTCACTGTAGAGCATTTTTCAATTTTTTTTTAAAAACCTTTGCCCAGAGAATAATAATGCACACACTATTTTGAGAACTGTGGGATTCTAGTTAACTGCTGGGTTTACAAATGTGGAAGCTAAAGGGGATGTGACTTGCCCAGGGTCACACAGGGACTAGTAAGTCAGGGACTCTGACACAGAAGGGAGCTGAGAGCTCAGTTTCTTCAACCCCCACACCCTCTGCTACACCTGCACCACGCCAGACCCCAGCCCCGTCCCAGGCTGTTACCTGGCTATTGATGTTATTGTTGTCCCCAAACACCAGCAAGCCCCCGATGACGGCAGACAGGAATGAGTGCGCCTGGTAGGTCTCGCCCTGCATGTGGGACTGCAGGGCACAGAGCCCTTTGTAGACAAACACAAAGCAGGCCAGGTTCCTCGAATGGGTGTACGTGGCCTGTAGAACGGCCTGCAGTTTCTCCCGGAGGCTGCACAAATACAGTGGGCCACTGTGAGCACAGGCCTGGCCTCCAAGGCACTCACCCTCAGGCCAGCGAAACCCAGCCAGTGAGGCGCTCACGGGCTGGTGCTCGTTCAGCCCAAGGTCCCCACCCTCCAAGCGCTGTGGGCTGGCTGCTCACTTGCTTCAGGCCTTGACTCCGTGCTGCCTCCACAGAGTGACTTTCCCTCATCACCCGACATAAAAGGACGTCCATCACATTCTGTCCCCTTAACCTGCTTTTTGCTCATAGCACCAACATTTACATGCTGTTTTATTATGTGTCCTTGACTCTGCCACACCCCATGGGAGCCACCAGCAAGCGAAGATTCTAGATCTGATTTATTCATGGTAAGGAAGGCAGGACAGGGCCTGCGCACATTAGATAATCAATAAATGAGTTGGGGTGCTTGGTGGTTTTTGTTTTTTGTTTTTTTTTTTTTTGAATAAAGAAATGAATGTGTAAGTGTATTATATATGCTGGCACAGCAGAATTCTCAGGGAAAAAAATAAGTAGATCTACTTGCTGCCCACATGAAGTTATGGGCAGTGGGAAAGGGAAACAAAATAGTCGTAAAACAAGGGTCAAGCTGTGACCCTTGAAGAGGTGATCCTGGGTCTGAAGGATGAGGGGTCATGAGGTCAAGGGGGAGAGGTGTTGCATCCCAGGCAGAGGAATCAGCCTGTGCAAAGGTCTGGGTAGGGATAGAGAGGAGGGAGTAAAGGAACAGAGAGAAATTCTCAACACGGGAGGCTGTGCAGAGAGGTGGCCCAAGCTAAATTTTGTCTTTATGCTGAGAAATGAACAGTAAGTAGGGGAATGATTCACCTTTCAATAATCAAGGACAGGAGCAGACCTTCCTGTGGGACATCAGTCAGGGCCAGTGAATGCCGGCAGACTGACAGGGCCTTGAGTGGGTCTGCTGAGACCTGTGGCAATCTGCCAGGCGAGCATGGACAGTCAGAAGTCAGCTGGTCTGTGCCCGCAGGCAGATGGGCAGAGCATTTCCAGCTCTAAGACAAAGAGCTGGATTTCCCAACTTTCAAATGCTGACACTCATCCTACCTTCAGAACATTTGGTGTCGAACCCGCCACCACCAACATCCACGCCATCATCTTAGCCATATTGCTGCAGCCTCCTAATCTACACTTCTGTTCTCTTCACCCTGTCCCCCACTTTTTAATTTGGCAGCAAACTCATCACTCTCACATTATCAAAAGATTACTCAAATATATATATGTATATATACACACATATATATATTCCTGTTTTACTTAAAAGAAAATTCAAACTTCTCTCTATGGCTTGAAACTAGACATACTTGGCCCAGGTCACCCTGTGATTTTCTCTTTGTTTTCTCCCCTCCAGCTCCCTCAAACTTACCTCAGGGCGTTTGCACTGGCTGCTTCCTTGACCTGAAACACCCCTTGCTCTGACACCACTTGGACAGCTCGTGCCCCTGGAAGTCTTGCGTGTCACTTTCTCATGAGGCTTTCCCTGCGTAGTTCTGCAGCCTGCCCGACCTCCATTATGAGCGGCCCCTTCCCCTCTTCCCTCGCTTTCATTTTTCTCTCCCACAGCCTGCACTGCCTTCTAGCATACGAAACGCTTCCTCACTCACTGTGGCTGTTTTCTGCTGCCTCCTGCTAGAACACAAACTTCAGGAAGGCAGCCATCACAGTCAGTTTTGTTCACTGCTGTATCCCTAGCACTTAAAAGTGTCTAAAATATGGAAAATGCTCAGTAACTATTGAATGGACGAGTTTCTATTGAAACTTGAAGTTCAAGTTTTAAAAAATGGCTTGGAGGACAAAACCCAAACACAAAAAAAATAAGTAAAATGAGGATACAGAAAATCTTATTAGCTGGTTTTAGTCGGTAGGCTATCCCTGGTATGATTCTGATAAGCTCCAGGTGAAGCTAAGTATGTTAAAAATTAGACCACAAGTGGCTTCTGGAAGTCCCTTGAGGAAAGAGTTACGAGCAATCAGAGGGAGGGAAGACATTTAGGGCATGGTGAGAAATGGTGTGGGTTGTGGAAGGGAATACAGGTGCGTGGAAGAGGAAGGGGGTTCCTGGGGTGTGTGATGGGTGCTGCATCAGCCAGTGTCTGTGCCTGGAATGCCAAGGACACCCCAGAGTGGATGGAGGAGAGGAGGATGGGGTGCATTTGAGGTGCGGCTGCAGAGCGTCGTGAAGGTCAGGCCTGGAAGGCGGGGAATGAGGTTTTCAAGCTGGGCTCACAGCTGCCCTTTCAGACTCAGTGGTGGCAGGACAGGGCGGGCCCAGCTGGTGAACTGCCATCCTAGCACGGAGAGTGACCACATTCCCTAACAGTCTGAGAGGTGTTCCAGGAGGGGCAGAGGTGTGGGGTCAGTACCTGCCACTCCGGAAGAGAAAGGTCATGACCAGCGCGTGAGGGGCCCGGATTTTGACTCCATAGCTGTAGAAACAACAACAAAAAACACACAATTACTCTGGCATCCCTACATCAGCTTCATTCTGGGCTCTCCTTGACTCTCTCCTTTCCCAACCTCCAGTCCTCACATCCTTTGGGGAGCGGAATTAATGCTTGCCTTCTAGTTAGATCTGGGTTCAGACCCCACCTGATAACCTCAGTGGTGTGGTCTCTGGCTTTTCATCAAACTTCAAATAAGTGAGTCTTGGTTAGCCCAACAATAAAAGGCAATGTCAGACCTCAGAGGCTAATTAGAATGCCAGTGCAGGAGACAACGCTTGGGAAGGAGGCAAGGCCCTCCACCATGCCACTCCGCTGGCTGGCGGCATGGGGTTGCTGTCTGGTCGCTAGCTTGACTTCCCCCCTGAAACCACACTCTTCTTTTTATTTTTTTAATTTATTTTAAAGATGTATTTTATTTATACATACAGGAGCTGAGATGGAGGCCAGAGGTGCAGGGGGGTGAGAGGATTCAGCAGAGACAGAGCGGGGAGCAGAACAGGCAGATAAACTGAAATACACAGCTGAGGGGAGCAGCAGGTGGGTCAGGAGAGGTCTGCTGCACCATGTCGGTCAGCCCCTGGCTGGGGATCAAACTCAGGCCGCTCATGTCGCAGTGGCTGGTGATAGCTTGACAGCACTCAGACTCCCTGTCACCAGGGACACCCCAGGCTCTTATTTTTAACAGATCACTCTCAGTTTAAAAGTCTCCAACACTTCCGCTACTCAGAAAAAAACCAGGCTCCTCCCTCAGCCACAGCCTTGAGAGTACTCAGGAATTTGGCCCCGGTTCCCACTTCTGCTTCACTCCTACCCTCCTTTTATTCTGTTCCAGCCCTACTGGCCTTCCTGGTGGTTCCCTGACACACCAAATTATTGCCTGCCTCTGGGCCTTTATCGAGGCTGTTCCTTCTGCCTGTGGAATACTCTTCTCTGCAAGATACACCTCTTCCTTCATCCTTGGTGAAGGCTCCTGACCCGCTTGTCTAAGTTAGGACAGTGTTTTCACTGCCACAGACCCCCAGACTTCTCAGTAGCACTTTATACTCCTGGGTTAATGACTCAATTAATTATTCATAATTCATAACTACTTTTCCTATTCTGATTATCTGTTTCCTCCACTATATTGTGGTCTCTGTGAGGATGGGTACTCTGTCTGGTTATCCTCTCCCAGCAGCTGGTGCTTGACATCCAGTCTGTGCTCAATAAACTGAACTATGAAGGGAGGTAATCTCCAAATGGTTCTATCTTTAGCTTGGTCCATCTTGAATTTAACACTAGTTAACTTCCCTAACGTGAGTCAACCTAAGTTAAATTCCCTAACATAGTTGCTACTTAACATTGTACTTCCCTCTACTTGTTCAAAATGTACCTCTTTCCAATACTATACAGAGGCCAACTTCAACTTTGTAAAAATACATTAAAAGAAAAAACAAACAGGGCCTTCCCTAGTGGTGCCAGGGGTTAAAGCATAGCACTGAGAGGCTGTTGGCAGCCACTGCAGCACAAGTTCAATCCCTGGCCAGGGAGGTGACCCGCATGACACAGCAGACCTCTTCTGTCTTGCCCACTGCTCCCCTCAGCAGTGTATTGCAGATAGTCAGCTTCTTCTGCTCCCCACTCTGTCTCTGGTGAATCCTCTTACCCCCGTCCCTGCACCTCTGGCCTGTACCCCAATTCCTGTATGCATAAATAAATAACTATTTTTTAAAAACACAGAGGAAATATACCACCATGTCCTCTGGGCTGGAGTAATATGGGAATTATCTGTTTTTTAAACTTTTCTGTACTTTCAAAAGCCCTAAGAGTAAGGGTTATTTTTTTAATTAAAACTATTAAAATGCATGTGAATGTTTCAAAATTACCTCAAGACTCACACCTCTTGCCCCCACCATCCTTTCTATCTCTTTTCAACAATGACTTTCATAGCATCTTAAAGACATATCACAAAGCGGTCTAAGGAATCATCCAGCATCTCGCTATTTTTTTGTAGCTGAATACTAAGTTCTTATTCATTAGCCTGCTCAACTGTTTCATTTTCAGAAATATAAATACTCAAAAATTCACATCCTTGTTTTTGACTTTTGTGTTTTGCTGAGTAAAAGCATCTGAATGAGATACAGTTCAATGTTTCTTCCTTCCATTCTGGACTTGAGATACTGAACAAGTAATTCCTGGACTATCCTGAATCCTGTGAATTTATTTTTCACCCATGAATTTTCAGGCTTCAACAAAAGACCCATTTTGCTCACTTTCCTGGGAAGTGAGCATGCACAAATCTCGTATCAGGGCTGTGGTACATCCGTGGTCACGTTCTGTACGTGGCTAGAGAGTGAAAACGATAGCCAATTCCTTTCTAGCCCCCACCCTTTGCTTATCCAGAGCCTCTTCCTGGATAGATGACATTGATGTGACTGAGGTGACATTGATGTGACCTAGGTTTCTCCACCTCTAGAGCCCTTCACAGTAACAGGGCATCCCTCCAGGGAGATGTCACATTTCTGGGACATGGACAATCTGAGTGCTGAGAATGGTTTTCATTCTTGAGGGAGATGTGGCAAAAAGCCCCCTGATCCTCCTTCCATCTCCTTATTTGAACCTCTGAGGATGAAGTGCTCAAGATCACATTCCCCTTCATGTTTATCTTCATTGTCTTAAGGACACTCAAGTGGGAAGCATCTGGTACAATTTGACTGTTGTCGATAGTCAATATTATGGAATTACTAATTTACGAAATGCAATCATGATAGTTTCACTGTATAGGAAAATGCTCTTATCCTTAGAGGATCTTAGAGCAACTAACTGTGTGTTAGTTGCACCCCAGGAGAATTGGGGTGGGATGAGGTATCTAAAATCAACGTTGGGGCAATGCTCAGTGGCACCAGAGCCTATATGGTACCTTGTCATTCATGCTTTGCCATTAGCATAACTTGCTTAACAAAAGGCCACTATGTTATCTTAGGGTTCACTCCACCCTGGTTGCACCATGGCATGGCTGATATGATCTGGCTAGAGCAAACCAACTGCTACCTGACTCTGGTGCCCATGGAAGCCAAGAGCCTGATCTTGGGGTCAGGTATCTCTGGGTTAGATACTGGCTCTAACCCTGACCAAGTGATGTGACCATGAGAAATGAGTTTACCTCTTTGAGCCAGTTTTCTCATCTGGAAAATGGAAATATGGCATTTCTTACTCTGCACATATATTCATTCATTCAGTAAATATTTGAGAGCCTACTACATTAACAAGAAGTAAAGAAAGATTCACATTCCATGAAATACACTTTGTAATGAGAGAGGCATATAAAATCAGAATATATGAGTGAACTACTCTATGTCAGATGAGTACTATGGAGAAAAAAAGCACTGTGGAGAAAAGTTAAGTAGGGAAGGAGGTGGAGTGTTTAGGGGTCGCCTCATTGGCACTGAAGCAGAGGCCTGGAAACGGTGAGGGGTGCGAGGCTTGTGGACATCCATGTGAATATAACAATAGTCACAGCAGCCAGCACATATCAGACACTTTCTAAGTATTTTGCACATACTGACTCAACCCTCTGACAGTCTAATATAGTTTATCATCCACATTTTATGGAAATGGAGGCTAAGAGAGGCTAAATGGACTTGCTCAAACTCACTAAGTAGGTGGCACCGGAACTGAACAGGAGACAGTCCACACCCTCACCACCTTGCCATGCTGTCTCTAGATGCCAACTCCAGGAGGATATTGATCTGCTGGATTCGCTCTCTGCTGTGTCCCCATTTCTGCCACAGCAAGATCTCAGTAAATGATAGCTGTTACACTTGAGTTTTAAAGGAGGTGTGGTCCTATACCTCTGAATAATATCCAGAAAACCAGTGTTACCTCACTCAGTCCATTAAAGGAGGTCAAATCCCTTCCAGTCACCAGACAGGCAAAATGACTCCTAGACCTCTCCTACAGATCTGATGGCTAGGGTGAAATCAGTTTGCCCAGCAAGTATTCGCAGTTCTTTTACTGCCAATCCTGAGGTTTATGCTCCAAGAGTCCTCTGTTCCAGAAGGGACCTTAGTACTAGCGTCACACAGACAAGGAATATGAAGTGGGCACCGACTGTTCAATGCAGGGAGTACAGGCAGGAGGCCCCGCCTGCCTGCTAGAGGCCAGAGGCCATTTTCCTGTTGGGCAACTGGGGCCACAGAAAACAGACAGGCCCAAGGGAGCACAATGGAGATAGGGAATAGGATATGGGCTCAAAAGAGGGGTTAGGGGTGGCATGACAGTGGTCAAGACACGAGGGCCAGTTTGCAAAGCACCTGGGGGGAATCCAGAAAGCAGCACTATAGGAGCCCTGGCTTCTATAACAGAACTCATAATCCAGTGCCCACCGCGTAGACGGTGGACACGGAGACCTAGCCACAAACTAGGGCTGCTCAAGGGCACAGAGCGAGAAGGTGCCAGGCCCGAAACCCGCTCCCTGGACCCCAACCAGGCCTGCCTCTCAGCCCGGACCGCTCCACTCACACTGCCCCATTCCGGAAGCCTTTAAGCACAGCCAACGCAGCGTGGTAGCGGCGATTGCGCAGCAGTTCGTTGACCACCTGGAGTAGCGCTCTCAGCTGCGGCGGGGCGGCCATAGCGCGGACGGCGCTCGGGGTCGGAGGCAGTAAGCCAAGCTCACTGACAACCTGCGGTTCCCGCAGCACTGCCCAGCCTCTGCAGCCCACAGCTCCTGGCAGCGCAGCCGCCTTGCTGTGCCATTGGATGTACTTCCTGTCACTCATACCACGACAGCCAATAAGAGAGCGCTCTCATCTCACAAGGTGAATGGGACCCCGGGTAGCGACCTAATTGGAAGAAAAGGGAGACATGGTAACCAATCAGTGGGCTCCGCCCCAGGGAAAGTTAGAATCACACGCCCGGATTTACCCAATCATAAAGCTCGTTTCCTTTGATTTAGGAGGTGTGTCACTTGTGGGTTCCAAAGATTTCTTAAAAGAGGACCCAACCTACCGAGCGCTGTGATGAAAGACCGGTAGTTTGTGACTCTGGGAGGAGCCAGGCCTCCTGTCTATACAAGAACACAGTAATGATCTTAAGCATCTCAGACTCTCAGACTTAAATCGCTAGGCACGCTCAATGGCGAACCTCTATTCCCAAAGTCCAAGCTCCTGTCCCTGGCCACAAGAGAAGACAGCACCCTCTGTCTCTTGCTTTGCTCTCTAATTTCCTTTTCTAATTTCTTGGCCTGGGCACTCGTCCCATCACTCACTACCCTACAGCCAAAATGGTTTGGCTGTCCCCTCAGCACACCAAGAATGAGCCGGTGTCAGCCGCTTTGACCTTGTTATTTCCTTGCCTGGGATGCACTGTCAGGTACAATTTTATAAGGTTAAAAACTGGGCCTCTCTGGTGGCGCAAGGGGTTAAGACTCAGCACTATGAAGCAATCCCGCAGCACAAGTTCCATTCCCCACCAGGGAGCTGACCCACAATGCAGCAGACCTCTCCTGTCTCACCCTGTTTCCCTCAGCAGTGTATGTCAGTAGATCCGCCTGTTCTACTCCACATTCTGTCTCTGGTGAATCCTCTCACTCCCTACATCTCTGGCGTACACCCCAGTTCTTGTATGCATAAATAGTAAGGTTAAAAAACTAATTTGCCCAGCAAGCAGTTTTGGGAAGCTTGGCTAGAAAAAGAAATTGAGAAAGGTGCCTTGGGAGGAGGCCAGGAAACTGACCACCATGACCAGAAAAACCAGCCCAGCTCCAGGAAAGCAGAAGCAGAGGCCAGGACATGTTTCAATGTCAAAGGCCAATTCAGGAGACCAGACATCCAAAATAAATAACTGGGTGCAAAATGGCACCACAAGTTAGAAAGCAGAATATAAAAGAGCATCTTAAATCCTCCCTCATGCACTGACTTCTCCCATCTTGCTCTCTGCTCTCTTGCCGGGTATTTCAGTAACTCTGTCTTTTCTGTTCTCCACTCTTTCTCTGGGGAACTTTTCACCTTTGTGCACCTGGCCTCACCCCAATATGCACCACCCCAGTACTTCCCATGACAGGCTCCTTCTCAACATTCACCATTCACGTTTCCTATCACCTCCTCTGAGAGTCCTTCCTAGATACCCCCTCTAAGGTATCACTGCCCACTCTCTGATTCCTTATCCTTTTAATTTTCTTCATAAAAATTTAACTCTTTGGAATTGTTTGCTCTGTGTTCATTGCTCTGTGTTCATCTATGAAGACAGAAATCATGTTACAGTTACAGTTTTCTGCTGTAACTCCTGCACTTACACATGGTGTACACCCAACATATGCTTGTTGAAAAGATATAGTTTTGGGTTATGTCTCATTGATAGGTGATATTTACACATGATGTCATGGTATGGAGTTATCTTTGGGTAACATGATGAGTGGTGACTATGGCTTCTGAGGGTGTCCCATGGAACATGGGAATTGTGGAATTTATCTGTGACATTATTGACTGGCTCAATGTCAGAGGTAAATGAAGAGGAATTATGGTTGGCCTATTTTATCACTGAATTTTTTTTTTTTTGTCATGTAGACTGACTTATTCAGGTAATCCTTCCTCTGAAAATAGTAGCAGCATTAGATAAAACATAAAAATAACCTCTAAAAAGCACTCACATGCTTAAAAATCTGGACAATGTGCAGAGTAAATGTTTAGTGATTGAGTAAAAGACAGTTAATAAAATGACTGGAATATTGGAATAGTACATTAACTATCATACAAGGGCATTTTCCAATATTGTACCTGTGAGTTTCAGTTTATCAACCATGCAGGGTCAGATGGACAGAAGTGAAAGTCCAATTATATCTAAGGAGGGGAGTTTTTTGTTTGTTTTTTTTTTAAGATTTATTTATTAGTATATACATAACTGGGATACAGGCTAGAGGTGCAGGAGCAGTGAGAGGATTCACCAGGCACAGAGTGAGAGTGGGGGGCAGAACAGGCATTTTGACAAATTACACTGCTGAGGGGAGCAGCGGGTGGGTCAGGAGAGGTCTGCCACGCCATATGGGTCACCTCCAGGGTGGATGTTGTTTGAACTCATATTGAAGTGGCTTTAGCTTCTTAGTGCTGACCCGCTGCACCACCAGGGAGGGCCCAAGGTGGAGGGTTTTTTATAGAACAGTCTCACATTAAGTGTTTACTCCAAAGGGTTTTTGCCCTCAAGTTTAATGAGATATAAACCTGCTGCATTTCCCAAACCACTAGCCTCAAAGGTGTTCAGAAAATGTTATCGTGTCTGAGCAGAACAGTTGAACAAAAAGGAAAGGAGAATTTTTTTTTAAAGCCCTTCCTTGGGAAGTTGTGATGACTGGTGACTCCTCTCACACCTTAGGGAGTACAGCCTGAAAGCCCAAGAGATCTCAAGCCATGCGTAGGTAACTTGAATTTAGGTAATAATTGACTGGAAATCCTTGGCAAAAAGCAAATGCAAAGGCTCACTGAAGAAGGGCAACATCTACTTTTGTCTTGAGGGAACCACCACAAGTGATTTTTAAGGGACTGACCAGCACACGGTCAGAGATAACCAGGCATCTAAGACTTCATGAAGAAGCAAAAAAAAAAAAAAAAAAACCCACAAAAAACAGACACATTATGTGAGAGCATTACAGTAGGTCTACACAGATTTCAGATATTATAATCCATAGAAATTGTGCACAGAGTGTTTAAAATTGGAAAAATAGTTATAGAAAATAGAAAACTGTATTTTTAAAAATACAGAAAATTTGAAAAGAAAGGAAACAGAACTTCTGGAAATGACACCTGATAACTCCCATAAAGATCAGCTACCAAGCCCTAATATTTGGCCTAGATCTGGAGAGGATGTTTAGAAAATATTTGGTTTTGCATGGTCTTCCAGAGTGCTATCTTTTGCTAGTCATTTCTCCCAGAGATTAGTAAATTTCCACTCTCAAAAGAACTCCCAGATACTAAGGTTAAGAAGTTGCCATTTGGAAACATTTATTGTTTCTCAGTAGTAACTTTTTAAAATTGCACACAACTCTGAGTTCCTCAGATTTGGACTTGTTTATTTACCTTTTCCCAGAAAAATTGCTTGTATCTCACCATTTAATTTTCATAGCAAACTTAAAAGGCTGGTACCATGATCATGCCTATTTAACTGATGGGAAATGCACACAGAGAGGCAAAGTAACTGTCTAAGATGAAAGAGCTAACAAGTGATAGAGTCATGATTAGAATACAAAACCCCCCAGACTCTAAACTTTTAAAAATGTATATTTATTTTTATTTATTTATGTTTACAAGAACTGGGGTATAGGACAGAGATGGGGACTTGATGGGGGCGGGGCAGTGAGAGGATTCACCAGAGACAGTGTAGGAAGCTGAAGAGGCAGAGTGACTGAAATACACTGCTGAGGGGAGCAGCGGTGAGACAAAGACAGGAGTGGTCTGCTGTGCCATGTGGGTCAGCTCCCTGGCTGGGAATTGAACTCATGCTGCAGTGGCTGTGATAGCTTCATAGTGCTGCACTTCTACCCGTTGCACCACCATGGAGGGCCCCAAGGTGTTAGGATTTAAAATGTCAATATGAGTTCTGGGAAGAAGAGGACATAATTCTACCCCTAACAACTGCTGCCTTTGCTGCCTACTACCAATACTAAAGAACCTTACAAGATTTCATGGTACAAGATTTGCCTTTATAGCCTTACTTTTTTTCTCTTGCTGCTGGGAGTCTGGTTGAAACTGCTCATGATTCCACTCCTCCCCAAAGGGAAGTTAACTTTTCTGGAGTGGCTGGAGCATCCATTGTGGAAAAGGAAACTGGAAGCTTCCCAAATTTTCCCTCCTCCCTGCTTGGCTGAATTCCTGGTGTTACCACATTACTTACCACAGAGTCTCTAAGCTGTGATCGGTTTTGGTTCAGTGCCAGTCAGTTGGCCCTGAGGAAATGGGACATAGGACTGATGGAGGAAGAGATGAAGGTGAGGGGGAGAAAAGCTGATTCTTTCGTTCCATCAGTCAGATAGTCAATCAACAAGCAACAAGCATTCCCCGGGTTGCCTCTTGTATCAGGTCTTGAGAACCAACTAACATGGGTTGAACCACCTTACCTGGCCAGTGGCTTCCTTATTGAGGGAGTGGAGAAAAATGGCTAAAGAGTATCACATGATAAATAGCATAAAGAATAACAAGTACTACAGGAAACTAGTACAGCAAGAGGAGGACAAACTTCAACCAGGGAGACCAGGGTAAGCATCTTAGAGGAGGCAAGAAGGCAAGGTCCCATTGTTCCTTTGAGGGTGATAAAAAAAAAAGAAAGAAAAAAAGAAAGAAAGAAAAGCTATGCAAAGGCCTGAAGAGCAGATGAAGAGCAACTATGTGTATGTGTGCATGGAAATGCACGGAAAGCTGCTGAGGGCTCCAGGACTGGTGGACTCCTACTGTCCAGTGCCTCCCATCGTCCTTAGAACAAAACCTGCTCTTGTTGTGGCCTATCTCATCCTCATGCTCCTGTGCCATGATCACTTATCCTCAGTTGACCCTGACAGACTTTGGTCTTTCATTTTTTGTCATGGTGTCATTATTAAATTTAGAAACTAAGCACCCAATTCTTGCCCAGCAAGCAAGTTTGGGAAGTTTAACTGGAAAAAGGGAGTAGATGGGACTGCCCTGTGGGAACAGAGCCATTCC